CTAAAGGGTACCTAAGTGATCATAACCCGACTCTGAGTACTTCAGCAAATTATAGACGAATTAAATCAGTTTTTATTTGTATTTAAAGAGTAATGGAATATTATTATTCAGTTTTAAAAACTTAATATTCATGATTTATGCAACTTTGAGATACATTGTAAGGAAATCTGAACATACTTGAGAAATATTCAAAAGACAAAGCATTTTATTCAGATATGAAATGGAATAAATTAAAAAAATATGTGTTACATTTACACATAAAATAATTAACTATAACTCTTACGATTGAGGTAAATATTAACTTTAAAAGAACGCCTGTCATTTTATGGGATAGGAAAAAACATTCTTTTTGTTGACATTTTAAACGTCCTTACGTACGGTTACTGGTTTACTTAGGTTAAGGGATACCACTATAACTTTCCATCACTTTCTTTACCTTCATCATCATTATAATTTGCACTTATCCCAACGGTCAGCAAAGTATGTGCTGCTCTTCTATACATTTCTATCAGCCGTCAACTCTGAATCCACTCACTTCTTAAGCATATCCTCTTTCACACAGTCCATCCATACTTTCATCGGTCTTCCTCTACGTTTGTAGTCATCCACATTTAACTTCGACACTTTCTGGTTTATCCCCATAACATGTCCTTACCACGCTAACCTTTTGCTTTTCAATTTCTCCACCACTGGCGCTACTTTCAAATTTCCTCTAATGTACACATTCTTAACTTTCTTCCATCACTTTCTCTAGCTTATAAAGTAGAACCTCGATAAGTTAAAGTCCAAGGGAAACCGAAATATTCTAAGTTATAGAGGTTTTAAGTTATCAAGGGTCTATGTTATAGAGGTTTTGGGTTCTGAACGGAAGGGAACATGGAGGGTTTTTATGCTATCGAGGTTCTACTGTGTTAAATTTTCGGAGACATATTGATCTTAACAATAGTTTGTATGTATGTTTATATATAATAGTTAAAGATTACGTAAACAGGTAGAGCTGATAAGTTGATCGGCCAAGGTCGCTATCATTATCGCCCGAATGCATTCGGCTGCCTTCCTTAGATTAGATACAAAACGTCAAATTAAACTTTCTATTTTTATCTGTGGAAAATCTTTTTTTGGAAATTTTTCCGATCGCATTTTGTTTTTGCTTGAAAAATGTAACTCCATCTGCCCCTGAACCCCGACTACATCTCCAAGTATACTCTTCGTGAAAAGTGTTACGCCAATTCATTCTAACTGTACTATCAGCAATAGAAGTGGTGTATTTAAAAAAAAATTAAACAAAAAACCTTAATTAAAAGAATTGCAGTTGTCAACTCGACTGTACAAACACTACAAAGGATGTTAGAATTTCCACAATGGGTTTACTTGGACATATATTAGGATTATATTTCAAAGAGAAAAAACAAAAAACCTTTGATATCCACTATATACTTGAATTGATACTTGTCTACTTAAAAAAAACCCTGAGGGATGAAAGTATGTTTCAACACAAAAAGCTGTTACGTTGTAGCCTTCTGTAGAATAATATTTTTATTAAAACTAACGTTTTCTTCAATTAGTATTCTCGCCCATTACATCATAGGCGCACCTTTATAATTTTTTACTTAATTACAATAAAAGTTGCGTGACGTAACATCCTAACCCCCTAAGACCTAGAAAACTGAGCTAAATAAATATAGCGATAATAACTGCAATCTAAATGTATTATACTATTTTTTTTTAATTTACAGCAATATTTAAGAGCATACTGTATAGTGTCTATTCATTTTGTCATCAAATATTTCCTTCCGAGATAAGAAAGTAAAAGAGCTGTTTACAATAATTGGAAAAAATATTTTTAATTAATGATAACCTCAGATAGCCTTTTGTCCAGTTTTGATGTATTTTAAAAAGGCACATTGTGTAATATGACTGCGACATGTAAGCAAAAATCCTTCAATGATGTTGAAAATACGTAATAACTTGACTTTTATATTAGAAACTTAGTCTTGTACACTATTAAATTACTGTACATACACAACAAAAAAATAATAGGAAAATAAGGCAAAATTACTCAACATTAAAATAACCTATAATAATAACCAAGGGCTTGTTATCAATAATAATAATTTTATTTCAAGCGTAAAAATCAGCTTATAAAATTGTTCGTAAGTATCTTATACTTTATTAGTTACAAAACAGAATATATATTTTTTTTATATTATAAAATGAAATTAATCCATCTTGTCTGAAAACTGAAATCTAAAACCAGTAATATTCAGTTCCTATCAGGCCAAGAATAATATTCTTATTTCAAATTTATAATATTCTTATTTTAAATATCATTCTAATTTCAAATTTTAATACACTCAAATACGAGCACAGATTAAATAACGTACCATAGACAATTTCCACTATTCCAATAAGAATCTAATAGGAAATAAAATTGAATAGGTCACAAAAACACGATACACTACCGCTTTATGAAATCAAGAGTGAACATTATTTGCGTAGTTGCGTGTTGTCTAAAAAAAATCCGTTAGACATAGGAACGCTAGGCCGAGACGCGATCGATGTTGAGGTAGGTCGGGCACGCCGCGCCGCGACCGCCTAACACCGCACATATTTGGGACTAACTACTTTTCTCCTTATATTCATAAATTCTACTAAAATCACTGTAAAATTACTACACTATTTAATTTAATTTCTTATAGTTTTTGTCCGTATTAAATACAAGATTCAGTATCAGTTGTTAATAAAAACAAGTGCTAATAACACCGCCGCATTGAACCAAGCACTATAATGTATTCATTAGACTTATATTGCAATATTGTAGACTCGCGACGGTCATGTAAGTAAAACAACATAATAAATATTGATTATCAGTTCCTATTAGACCTGAATTCACCGCATTTGCTCATCTAACAACACAATTGCGTTCCGCGCGGAAAATCTTGATAAGACTTCAACGGTTGTCCGGCGAGAGTTGATAAAATGTTAGGATAGGTCAAGGCAAAACGAAAATTTCTGCACGCGAATCTAATCGGCGTCTAGACGTTACCGGAAATAAATTTGAGGCACTAAAAAAAATGTAGCATAATTGTACGCACCACTTCCTCCATCCAGTCCATGTCGGCTAGTATCGCTGTCTGGATTGTGTCGCTAACTATTTATTCGGGTCAGGCGTCACGAGAGTACTGCGCGTCGCGACGTCCGACACACGAGTGCAGCGTCGTGTCGTGTGTTGCACCGAAAATTCCCGCCGGCGCCCCACCCCGCGCCCCCGCGCTCCCCCGGGCCCCCGCTCGCGAAATTTTCAAACATCAAATCGCACAGCGCCATCTATGGGCGATTAGAAGCTCGCTCGCCTCGTGCGTGGCCTTGAACTTGACAATATATCGCGGCGACCCAGTTTCGCAGCGCGCCCGCCGGCCTCGCCACACGACTCAGCTGAATGGAAGCGAGTGCAGTAAGGAGCATTTTCGCGTCACACTGACTCTCGTTTTCATTGTATAATGTTACATCACTTGCACTCACGTATTTACATCGCAACGATTAACATGTACTTGTTGGTATAATAAATTGCGCTCCTCGAGCTTCAAGTCGATCGATAAGCGCCATTGGAAATCAAACTTACGTCTTCATATAACACATGAATACATAACTAACTAGAGAAATTCTGTGCATGTAGTTTGTTGACTTTAAAATAATTTAAGAGAAGGTCTAGACTAGTCTAAGCTAGACTAAATGACTTCAAGAGCCTAGATATATAAAAGTACATTTTAATTAATGATTATTATTATACAGATATGAGGATTCATATCTCTTGCAATTCCTTATCTAAAATAATGACGTAAATATCAAATCATTAAATGCATTTTTATCAGGATATTTCAATTAATTCATTAGGATGTTTAATCTAACGAATGACCTAGAAACAACTAAACAAAAGAAATGCAAGAGTAACATCTGTTTTAGAACTTCACACTTTTTGTAACATATTGTTTTTTTCTCTATATTTCTTATTAAGTTTAAGTAAAAAATTAGCCTATGTCACTTGGTGATACATTAGCATTCTAATAATGTAAGAATTTGTGAAATTGGTACAGTAATTATTGAGTTTATTAGTAACGTACAAATAAATTCATTTAACTAAAAATTGTACATCAGAGAAATGTTTTTATGTCAATGTTAATTTATGGTTAAACTAGCTGTTCCCCTACGGCTTCATCCGCATAAAATTGTAATTATTTTATTGCTTACATTTGTCAAAATCTCCATTGCAAATGTCAAAATCACCTTTACCATAACAACCTTGCTTCCTTAATATTGTCAGCTCATAGTTTATGTCCCCTTTCCAACATGAAGGTTTTTCCAATTTATTTACGCCCTGAGTTTAATAGTGTGGAAATATAAGCCTAAAAGTGTGTAGTAAGTGTAGGGCTTTTTATAAAAAAAGAATTATTCAAAAATATGCTTTGCTGACGTCCTTCACCACAAAGAAGTGTGTGTTTACACTTTATTATATTACTATAAATGAGACAAAAAAAAACAAATATTGAAAAACAAATCTGTCAAAAATCACTAGAAAAATACAGATTTGCATTAACATTCTCAGAAGATTGTCTTACAACTTGTTCCTCTGATCTAATATTTTTTTACACAGAACTGTAATAATGAGGCATGTTTAATTGCATAATTTTACTTGTCTTAAATCTTAAAAATATTTCACCTCCAATTCTCCAAAACTGTGAAATTTAATACCATTGGATAATAGAATTGAGAATCATAACTAGCATGCAGATTTACTTTTTAATTTATTATTTTTTTTTACTTTAAATTGTACCATCCAAACAACACAATTCCCATTTAATACTTTAGTATCGGATGTCGCTACTAGATGGAGCTATATTGTAAATCTGAGTTGGCATACAAGTTTTGAAGTAAACAGGAAAATAAGTGTCTTATATGAAAAATTATAAGTGAATAAAAAATGTTTAACAAACATATCTTACCTCATCCATAAATTAATGACATTATTTGTATAAATCCTATAGTCATGTTGAAGTAACTGCAAGGTTGTTATTTCTATACAAATGTATCTGAAATAATAATAGTGAATTAAAAGCTGTAAAATAATTATAAAACATACTGGGAGCTTTGAAATGTAATAATTGTATACTCAAATAAACTTATTAATGGATAAAATAGTTTTTGAACTAAAACTGTTTTGTTTACTTAAAAAAATGGATGAACAATGGAATGTACTAAAAAAATGTTCTTTATATCTCATTAAATAAGATAATAAATTACCATAACTACAAAACTCTTTAATAATAAATATATTTTCATGTTTCCTTCACAGCATAATTAACAAAAAGGCCTGAATAATTTATGCAGAATTAATATAATACAACGTATAAGGCCGGAGTAGAAAAAAATTACATTGTAAATACAGCATCAATTATTTTTTCCTATTATACTACAAATGTCACAAACGTATGGTAGTTACACTACACTATTATGTAAACATTTGACCAACTTACACTAATCATAAACCACATAAAATAACATACACATCAAAGCAGGGAGTGTAGGACTTTTCTGGAATAGGAATAATCACCAAATTCTCCACAGTAATTCTACAAGATCGAATTATTTCATAACAATTAAACTGTTTTGAACTGTCAGTTATTAAGTCTAATAAGCTCTTGTCACAATAAATATAACACTGTTACTTCTTTTATACTTTAAAATAACTAAAACCAATACAAGTAAACTATTTTAGGTAAGTTAAAACTATTTGTTTATAAGTTTTAAATATATAAAAGCGTCGAATTAGGTTATTTTAATTGACATCTCATAAGCGTTGACAGTTGACATTGACAAGTAATGTCGTAAAAGAATAGATAAGCAAAGAAAAGTAATTCTTTTGGTAAGAAAAAAAGGGCGATATTATGAGTAAGTGCTCTAATTGTTCATCATTGCTATTGTTTCTTATCGTTTTTGGCAAAAAATGGCATCTGCAGTGAACTGTTGAAACGTTCTTTAAATAAAGAATGTTAATTTCCGTCAGTTTTTCTCATTAGGAAATTTAAACTAAACTGAATGTGGAATGCTACCTTTAGTGCAAGAAAAGTTATTTTATTGATAATTTCTTTCAAGAATTTAATTAGAAATTGTGTGTTAAAATTTAAGACCTCAATAAAGTCTAAATTATTACCGTGCAAGATATTTTATGTAAGAATTTTAATTTTAAGATGACAACACCAAACTATTTCTGAAAACGCCGACGTTTCTCGTTTTTCGGGCCAACTCATCGGTCTTTTTGACACAGAATATGTTTGTTTTTAGCTCATAAAGCTATGAGTTTTAACTCCTTTTGTGTATGATAAATAACTTTTGTGATTATTAAGACATGGAGGTGCAATATCTCGTTCTCCTTTTGAGTATCTTCTGGCATGGTTGCCAAGGTATTATGTGGAGTTTGGCTCCTAACACACAGAAGTGTTTAAAGGAAGAATTACACGCTAATGTTCTTGTTGCTGGTGAATATGAAGTAGGGGAGGCTCCCGGACAGCGAGTCGATTACATAGTAAGTTGTTATGTCAAATTTATCCTCCCACCCATAATTTTGATGTGCCATTCAACTGGGGCTGCTACGAAAAAGTACCTAATAATTTAAAAGCCAATGTTTGCAATTCTTTTATAGTTAATATCAAACACTAAAAACCTTTATTTTTAGAAATGTACAATTATATTTTGTTTTCTTTTACAGGTTAGGGATTCAAAAGGCCACATACTTTCACAGAAAGATTCAATAACCAAAGGGAAGTTCACATTTGTTACTGAAACATATGACACATTTGAAGTTTGTTTCTTATCAAAAGTTCCTCCAGGTAAGATTAATTTATAACAATAAACAATCTTTAAATCATTAATAACAATGAAGTAGATCAGCGGTTCTAGCAAACGTTTTACATACCTAAAATAGTCAAAGATTATGCATAAAAAAATGTGAATTTATTTATGAGGCATGAAAATGGACATCATTACTAGGAGCAGTGATTTAGATATGCACTAAGAGATTTATGTCTGCTGTTCTTTGATAAAATAAAATACATATTATAAATACAGTTTAGATGGATGGTTAGATGTTTGTTATCGAAAACAGCATGTGTCCTACTGAATTTGGCATAGACAGAAAATACTCCGGTCTTGTACTGGCTACTTATGTTTTATTTTTATTTGTAAGTGTCTGGAGTTGGTATAGACAGCTGGTATCATATAATTTAATATATTAAAGCTTTATAAGAATTTAATATTTTCAGAGCGCAGGGGCATCAGTCAAGAAGTGTTCTTAAACATAAAAGTTGGATTTGAGGCTAAAAATTATGAGGGTGTAAGTAATTCTTACTTTTATTTCAAATAACATCAAGTATATAAGAAAAAAAAAAATTTTTTAATCTGTAATGCACCATACAACAGCTAGCTGTCAAATTCTCTTGGTTGACTTTTTTTCTGTGCTTGTAAGGGGTCAATTATACCAATTCAATTCTAATAAAGTGTTTAAAATAAAGAGTATACATTTGTGTTTGTTAAAATAATGAATCTGAACAGAAAATTAATATTTACTGCTGCATTTATGTAACAGAAATTAATTTAATTGTTAATTCTACCATTTCTTTTATCGGTTGGTGGTCTGTGGCACCGACAACTTCAATCTACTAGAACACTTGGGTAATAAATGTGTGAGAGTTTCACATAACTAACAAATTGTGTGCCAAAAATATAGTAAAACCTTTTCGCATGAAACTTTGAGAATGCTTACATACTCATGACCCAATAAGATCTATTTAAAACTATAGTCAAACTGCAAAATGAATTAAAATTGTACCAATTGTGAACATAGCATGAATGTTTTGAAAAACATTAGTTCTGAAAAAAATAATCTTCATACATTATTGTACAATCAGGGAATCTAACGGTGTTTCATCTTAAAAACTAAATAGACATTTAAACAACAATGCAGGACAGGTTTAAATGTACTCTGCTGGCCAAAAGTTTGAGATCACTTTGTATTATTTTATAATTTGCAAAATAAGATAAGATGAAAATGTTGGTCAACAGTATATGCCTAATTTTTATTATAATGCAGTTTTTTGCTATCAAATGTAATGCCTTAGTTATGCATTTGTTTTATTACAAAAAGAATTGATTCTTTCTGTAAGTGAAATACTGTAGATTTCCTTGACTGTACATGTCAATATCATGAAAAGTTAATTAGTTTATTTTATAGTGTACCAAGTGGTGTAAAAACATCTTTGTTTTCACTTTAGTATACATATTGGTATTTTGTGTGTGAACTAGTTAAAAAAAAAATGAAGTACCGACATCTTAATATAACCTTTTTTCTTATGTTTTTATATTTACAGATTGGTGAAGCAGCCAAGCTGAAGCCAATGGAATTAGAGTTGAAGAGACTGGAAGATCTATCAGAAGCTATTGTCCAGGACTTTACTCTTATGAGAAAGAGAGAAGAGGAGATGCGAGATACTAATGGTTAGTCAGTTTTACTACATATTCAATGTAAGTTTATTATTTTGAGTTATACAACCATAGATAATGTGTTTTATTTTCAGAATCCACAAACAACCGAGTACTCTTCTTCAGTGTATTCTCTATGGTATGCCTACTGGGACTGGCCACTTGGCAAGTTCTATATCTACGCCGCTACTTCAAAGCCAAGAAACTAATTGAATAAACTGTTTTACTAAGATATTTGAAGCGGCACAGTTCCTCCAATTGTTGTATCTATGTATTTGGTTTCGATATCTGGAACAGTGCAAACGTTATACTTGCGTTGAACAAAGATTCCACAGATCTTATTTAATTAATGTACCAATTTTTGCTTTATCTTTTTATGGATAAATTGAGAATATTCAATTCAAATAAGGAACTGTAAAATCACATATTTATACCAAGAGTAAATAATTACAGTAAAATTTTTAATTTGTTGCATTTTTACCAAAATTATAGTTTATTTACTCTGGCAACATTGCAAACTATCAATGAGTTCTTAATTTTTTTAAACAACTTATCAAAACAGCGCCGCACAGTCATATTAAAATTAAACATATTTTGATTACTTAATGCAGATAATTTAAATATTTTTGTTGTATATGTTCATGTTTGAGTGTGTCGTGTCTTTAAGTAAGAATGTATAAAATAATGTTTTTTGGAAATTGTGTTTCATTTATAAATTTTGCCATTAGTGCACAAAAGTGTGGTTAAAACAAGTCCTCAGGAAATTTTGTCGTGGGGAATTACCTCAGTATTGTCATTTCCAAAATAACGTTTCGATTCTTTTACTAAATAACCAAACGGCCAACCGTATCTCCCTTTTGGCATAGATGTAATAATCTGGAAGAACACAGGCTACTAATAGTTCTTTTTTTTTGACAGACTTCCCAAAAGAAGGAGGTACTCAATTCGTCTGTATATTTTTTTTATGTGTTACGGCATAACTCCGCCACTAGTGGACCGATTTCGATAATTCTTTTTTTTTTAATCCCGCGACGACAGATTGGCGGGGCCCAGCTAGTCTAGCCATAATTTTTACCAATGCTTGTACAAAAACCTATAACATTTTTTTTATCTCTACTAATATAAAGAGGAAATAATAGTATGTTTGTATGTATTAAAATATTTCTAAACCTAATGGGCTGATTTCAAAAATTCTTTCGCCATTAGAAAAGTAAAGTGTGGAGGTACACCGGTAGCGGTAGACGTAGAAAGAGATGGATTGCGTGAAAGGTGTCATGATCAAGGAAGTCTGAAATGACGTATTACGTAATACGAGTTATTTGGAGGACAAAAACCTGTTGTGCGTGCCTACGGGAGAAGGATTAGGAATAAGATGATGACTTATATTTTTTAGCACCTTTTTATTAATTTTATATCTATTCCTTCTATGAGAATGAACGGAAGTTTATTCAGTTTGAGTAGAAACCCAGTATCAATTTTGCTTCTGAAAATGTTGACAATGAAACGAAAATATTACATAATGCTTTTTAATTTTCATAATAAATAAAAAAAATGTGATGTTGATAGATTTTATGTAGTTGATACTTTTGTTTTAATTTATAAAATATTAAATGCAACTCAAAGATGACAATTTCTGGTGGGATACACAGATTAAAAAAATTGTAGATATTTAAAAGAATTCCTGGTCAAAATCATGGAATGTTTAATACAGAATTTGTATATTTTTAGATATATACTAATCATCACATTCAAAACAATTCACAAGTAAATTAAAAATAGCAAAATATTTATTTATATAAATAAAAAATATATACAGTAATGAAAAATTGTATTTAATACTTTTAATATAAAAAAGAACTGATGATTGTGTTAATCTAAGGGCCAGAAATAAACAAATTCACTTGAAATGTGGATAAAAACACCAACGCCCTCTACAGTATAACAGGCCAGTTTTTTTTGACACAAAAGAATAAATATCGACTTGTTATAAAATACTAGGAATTTAGGCAGTAACACGAAAATTTGCGAGAAAGAATGCATTGTTGTATCATCGACTTTATTTGAAATTTATCTGAGCAGTTGCGGCAGCAGAATTCTAATACAAACTTAACATTACTAACAATTTCTAGCAAATTTTCGTGCTAGCCCTGGTTCCCAATTTATTGGTAACAATTTTATTAATAACTCATAGATGTTAAGAGCTTTTTATATTGTTGGGGCAATAAATTAATAACCCTGTAAGTTTGCTCTCGACCACAGAACATTTTTTCTGGAATCTAGCGACAATTTTTTTTTAAATACCTAAAGGCCGACTTAATGGCTATTGATGGCCATTTGTTTATAACTTTGGAGTATATTGTAGCTAACATATTTCAGTTATACATTTTAAACTGTCAATTCAATGAGTGAAATCAATATAAAAATGGAAACAAAGTATTTCAAGTCTTATCACATTTAACATAAAACAACTGCTTTAAACAAGCTTTCTGAAATTAGTTTACACTAAGTAACACTATTTGCTAGCACGCATAATTCATTTTTCATATAAAAACTTTAAAAACATTGCATAAAAAAATCCTAATTTGCACACTAACGGGCCTATTCTGGAACTATTGGGCTCTTATAATACATTCCTTATATACAATTGATTGTTTTAATCAAAATTATTGACGTAATCAGAGACGTTTTTGACGTCTTTCTCTCTTGCATGTATAACTTTATATTCTCTACAATTGTAAAGTAAGGTTAATTTTTGATTCATATTAAAGCAAATGCGGCTCGAAGGACCATAACGTTTTTAGTTTTAAAAAATGTCATAGCTTCCTATTACAATAAATGGCAAAGACCTTGTTGGTCGCGTCTCTGATTACGACAAGCAAGTGACTCAAACAACAACACTCCACTTTGTGGATATCTGTACATTTGTGACTGTTTGCTTACGATCATCAAAGTGGGGAATAGTCCAACTGCACTGTAAGGTGTTTGACGCCCGCCTCGCGGAATATCCTCGCGGCCTGCTCCGTCACGTAGCGCGGGTCCACTTGTCGCGCCACTTCCAGCTTGATCGCCCCCACGTGCACATCACTGCACAGCGTCCAGAAGTGAGGCTCCTGCACCGCGTGCACACCCGCCAGGCCCACCACGCGCGTGTACAGATTGGGCAAAGCGCGTTCGATGGAAGTCGGAGTCCGTTGCATTAGGACACCGGCGGAGTCACGCACTAGGGGGAGTACACTCGCCGCGATTAGTAACGCTATGGCCATTGAACAAATAGGGTCGGCTCGCATCCAGCCGAACGTACGCATCAATATGGCGGAGATGATGACACCGACTGATCCGAGCGTGTCGGCCAGCACGTGGAGGAAGACGCCTCGCATGATAGCGGAGCCAGCCCCGGTGGGCGCCTCCATGTCGTCGTGGGAGTGGCCATGGCCATGGCCGTGGTCGTGGTTGTGCGAGTGACCATGGCCTCCGTGCGAGTGGCCATGGCCGTGTCCGTGGCCGTGATGGAACGCATATATGCCCACCAGGTTCACTAGGAAACCAAGCACCGACACTAATAAAAGACGTTCATGTTTCACCTGAAAAAAAAATTAAACTCAACAATCGCTTACTCTTTATTGCTGTAGGCGTGATGTTTTCATCTTCAAAATTGACGAGGCTATTTAGTTTCTGAGTTACAATTTACCGGTTAGTGTTTTTATTATAGTAACAAGATTGAGAGACTTGGCGGGAAATTATTGTAAACTAACTTTAGCACGCAAATGTCAACCTTAAAGCTAATTCACGTAAGGTTGAAAATACATAGATTGGTGACTATGGTAATCATATAATAAAGGTTTTTATTGTAGTCGATGCCTTTTCTTTCGATTCGTTCCGCCCGAATTACACTTACGACAAGCTCTTATGTAATTTTCAAATCGAAAATTCGTTCTAACTGTTAAATGTGTATTAAGATAATTTTAATATTGAGAATCATAGATTAAGTGAGATGCAACACAGACATCTCCGCAATAATTTGGACAAGGAAAATAATACAAGGAAAATGCAGCGAAAAATAAAAAAAAGCATTAATACACTCCAGACAGACATATCTATAGTGTTGTTGAATTTATCAATAAAAGACTTATTAATTGTAGTGTTTTACAACCTAATATCTACTTCTATTTCATGTATTCTTAAGTTACCATACTTTTTTTAAACAAACAAATAAATCAATTACATATATCAGAAAATACAATTTTCTGTTATCTAATCTATGTATTCAAGTCTCGTGCTACAAAATAAGTTGAGTTTCAGCAATAAAACCTTATCAAGTTGAATATGTTAAGTAAGGAACATGCCTTATCTGAGCAGCATGTTAAAAGTAGCTGATGTTATCAAATTGCCACAGACTTAAGATAATCTGAGTTTAGAATTACATTAAATGTTAAAACAATTAATTAATTAAGTAGCAATAAAAAAAATGTATTAAACCCAAAAAAATACCTAAAAACTTGCTTTCAAAAATTTTCTAGAAATAAATTTCCTTATGAAGTTTCCAATTTTGTTTGAATCTATTCAGTTACCTTTAAAATGAAGGTTTTACATACTCCTTTGACAATAATACTCATGAATAAAATTAGAGAAAACTGACAATAATATGCCAAAAATATCCTACAATAATATAAAGTTCATAAAACTCTGTCATTAAATTTAGGGTATGTTATTTCATAAAAAAATCAAGTAAAAACTTGTTAATTTATAACATAAGAAATATTTACCTCTGGTGGTTCAATGGCTCTTTCCACAGCTTCACTCATAATAAAGAATGCAATAAACAACAGGAAGAGGCCATTTACAAATCCGGCTAGGACTTCAGCTCTCGCATAGCCGTAGGAATAACGCTCATTTGCTCTCCACTTGGACACAAGGGATGCGGCCAGGCCAGCCACCAGACCAGTGCAGTCAAAGAACATATGGAATGCATCAGAAATAAGACCTAAAACAAAGATTATTTGATGATGTACACAATTTTTTTATTACTTGTACTGCATTTTAAAATTAAAATAAAAATTAAAGCTACTTACCTAAGCTGTTAGTCCATATCCCATAGAATAACTCGACAAAAGCAAAGGACAAGTTAAGTATTAAAAACAGGAAAAGGTTCCTAGAATTTTTGTCCGAATAAATAAGTCTGAGCCAGTTTTGAAACTTTTCGCGTATCCCGCCTAAAGGTCCCCGCGGGGTCCTTGTATCCTTCTGGGTGAGGGGCAACATCTTGTCACTTCAACTATTTAAGATTTCTACTCACGTCATTTCTGGCCTAATTGGCCAAATATCGTAAAAACACTAGGTTGCTGCATACGTGTACTATTCTTGTGGTTCCTAACCTCTTTTAATTAAAACAGTTTAACATCGATTAAGAGAGAAATTATAGAATTAAACGTGTTTTATCTGTTAGATGCATAATCTTCACAAATTATACATCCTATAACAGAAAATTATCCTAAAATTGTGTAAACTTTTTCTCATCGTGTGACAATTTAAGCTATCTGGCAAAGACTAAATATCTACGTAAACGTCAGTCACTTTTATTTGACATTTCCTATAAGTCAAAGAATACCAATAATTACATTATAGTCTATCCTTTCAAAAAGGTTAATTTAATAGGCATCTGCATAGTTTTGTGACAGTTTAATTTAATGTTTACTTTGTTTGATATTTTATTCTCTTCTCCCGAATCATACAAGTCGTAACAGAAAATTCTTATGTATCTTCCAAATAACTAAAATACGCATTAGACGTAAAATTGCGGAAACCTTATCTCTTACTTGTCTCTTACTGCTAACAATGTTACTATTTCATGTTATAAACAGCTTATCTCTTTTATAATTGCTTTAATAAACATAAAAGAGGAAAATGGACAACCCTTTTAAATATGTCACATGCCGAATTATAATATATGCTACCTCCTTTACTCATTGAACTATACATCTCTTGTCACATAAATTCAAATTGATGGCATTCTCTTTTTGTTTTAATTGTTTAATCTGCATAACGCAAGGAATGCCAACACTAACTCGATTGCAATTGGCAAGTTAAAATTACATTTGATAAACAACCAATAACTATACAGCAATAACTTGTTCAAAATGTAAATGAAATAGCATATGTGATGATTCACAAACTTTCAAACGACACTCGTTTCCGGAAAAGTTTAATGTCATGTCTATGATCGTTGCTCATATTGCTTATGGAAAGGAATTTTCACAATAGAATAAATAAGCAAAAAAATGCTTTTCGTGTCATTTTCTTATAAAACACCTTGTTATTTACTTAAGCAATTAATTACCAAAAGTCTGTAGTTCCCAATGGAACGCAATGTCACAAAAATATTTTCGCGCCTTTAATTTAAAATGATTCCACCGGAAATTCGTCTATAGATGCGTTTGTTTCCGAAAAGTGAACGTTTCACGAGTCAACAGCACAGCAACGTCGTTCGAGAAGTTCTAGGCGCTGTTTGCGACATTTTTCTTTCTTTTATCCGTCATCCAATGTTTTGTGTGATGAAATAACACGTTGATTAGCAAGTTATTTCGATTTTAGTGTTCATAGTCGTAATAAAGTAACTGCTAGATTACGATATAAGCTAATATGGGCGACGAAAGCCACCCGAAAACTCTCTACGTCGGTAATTTAGACGCGAGTGTGACAGAAGATTTCCTATGCGCGTTGTTCGGACAAATAGGCGAAGTTAAAGGCTGTAAAATAATACGTGAACCTGGGAACGATCCGTATGCGTTTCTTGAATTTACAAATCACTCTGCAGCGGCTACGGCCCTGGCCGCCATGAACAAGCGAGTGTTTCTTGAGAAGGAAATGAAGGTTAACTGGGCTACGAGTCCTGGCAATCAGCCGAAGACGGATACTAGCAACCATCACCATATATTTGTGGGTGATTTATCGCCGGAGATCGAAACTCATATACTTCGTGATGCTTTCGCACCGTTTGGTGAAATCTCTAATTGTCGAATAGTCCGCGATCCGCAGACGCTCAAATCTAAGGGTTATGCTTTTGTATCTTTTGTAAAGAAGGCTGACGCCGAAGCCGCCATCCAATCGATGAACGGTCAGTGGTTGGGTTCGCGCTCTATACGTACAAATTGGTCAACACGTAAGCCACCGACCAACAGACCAAACGAAGGAACGCCCAGTAGCAAACGAGTTAAGCAACCTACATTTGACGAGGTGTACAATCAGAGCTCACCGACAAACACGACCGTGTACTGTGGAGGCTTCACAAGTAATGTTATCACAGAGGAGCTGATGCAGAGCACATTCTCACAGTTTGGTCAAATACAGGATGTTAGAGTTTTTAGGGACAAAGGCTATGCCTTCATTAGGTTCACAACGAAGGAGGCTGCAGCCCATGCAATAGAAGCAACACATAACACAGAAATTAGCGGACACACAGTTAAATGTTTCTGGGGTAAAGAGAATGGTGGTGGAGAGAACCAGGTAACACTTGTTGATAGTATTTGAGGTATTTATTTACTTGAATATGATGTTTACATGATACTTTAATATTTCAGAGTACAAATAACCCACCTGCGGCTGCTACAGCAATGGGAGCACAAACACAATACCCATATGCATATCAGCAAGGAATGGGGTATTGGTATGCACAGGTCAGTAACCTCCCAATGATATATCCTACATTTTTAAGACATACACTTACTGTCATTTGTTTTGTGACACAAAGCTGATGTCCAATGGTCAAATACTGGAATGTTAAATACCTTATAAGTGCAACTTACAATCTTAATGATGTCAAAATTTCAATGCAATTAGGAGTTAGTTAGTTAGGAGGAGCCTAGCCTTATAATTAGAGGATGAATTGTTTTTTTTTTTTTATATGTTTAAATCTTTCAGTATTTGGCTGTAAATCTTAATTAAAATGCTGTTATAGTCTAATGCAACAAGTAGCAGAGAAGTTATTCTGTATTAAAAATACTCTTATAAATAGATTGTATATATTTTATCAACACAAGTTATTGTATTTTTCAAATATCTTGGGGGCTTGGATCATCACTAGTCAATGCGCAGAACAATGTTAGGTGTAGCGGGACGTAAAGAGGATATGGCGTAATGTGCAGCTCAAGGTTAGCCAAAATTTTAACTCAATACAAAAGCAAACATAATCGGAAAGGATTCTCAAGAGAAATTCATTCTTAACCATATATATTTGGTGAGAGTATGACATTAATTCTTCTATTATGGTGTCAAAGCACATTAATGTTAGGTATTTTATAAATTAAAACTTAATTTGTGATGTAACAAAAATGTTTATTATATTAAAAAATGACAGTATTAAGTATTACAAAAGTATTCTAGTCTAGTCTACATTTCTTATCTTTAGTGTTTTATCTGAATGGCTTGAGTCACCTGTTTAATGGTTTTCAAGCATATAACAAGTAAAAAATGCACAATGACATGCATTTATATAAATGTATAGTTTTCTGAGCCAAATGTGAGCTTAGATGCTATTCCAAACCATTATCCTCTATGGAAATTCTACCATATTTAATTACCAGTTTAGTTCATATGTAACAAAAATCTATCAATACGTTTTACTTCAGTGTTAAAATTAAGATAATTCAGTTTTAAGTATTATTTGTCTTTGATAATTCTGATTGTTGCAACATGCTTATATCTCAGTTTTGAACTTGTAATGATAAAAAACTCGTTTTCTATCAAAACAATTAGAAGTGAATTAAAATAACTTACTAATTTAAGAAAGCATTTGTTTGAACTTTAATATTCAAAATATACAAAACTAGCTTTCGCCAGCGACTCAGTCCGCGTGGTATTAAAAAAAAAACAAAAGTAAGTAGCCTATGTGTTCTTCCATACTTTGCTCTACATGTATGCGAAATTTCATCCCTATCCTTTGAGCCGTTTAGGCTATAAACTCTAACATCCATCCATCCATTTAAACTTTCGCATTTATAATATTAGTTATATTGACCAAAAAATAATTTTAATGTTCTTTGTATAAACACAAAGACAAACTCTTGTAACATGATTCATTTCAACCAACTAGAGTGACTCATTTGAAAGTACATTGATGTCTTTGGTCGCTGTTTTGGACATTTAAAACTGTTTATTATCAAACAAAAATAAACTAAACACACTTCCTATATTAGATATTGCTGTATTTACCTTAGTGATTATAAAAAAACTTAAGTTTATCATAAACTAATAGACCAAAGCCCGCTATAGACAATTAGTTCTGAGAGTTTTAACTAATGATTAAAACTGTGTGTTCAATATATTTTAATTGTCAGTTGATTTGTTCTGTATTTTGTCTACATTGCTCAGTTTCATCTAAACAGTTTGTCTGTTTTGTTAAAACTGTCTGTAGTATGCTGAAGTATTTTTATAAATATGTGATAATGTTATAAAGAGGAAAGATTTGTATTTTTGTAAGTATAGAAATAACTCAAAAACTATTGGATCGATTTTAAAAATTTCTTTCACTGATAGAAAGGTAACATCTGTGAGTAACATTGTTTATTCACGCGGATGAAGTCGCGAGCAACAACTAGTTATAAATATGTAAAATTTATTTTAGACTATAAAGAATATTGTTTGTTCTAATTTATTTTAAGTTGGAGTTCAATATAATAATACAGACTGACCTTAATTACTTTGGCAAAACCTACAGATCATCACATTGAAAAGCCCCTATGTTACTCACGTCAGATAAAACTATTGGCCTGATAGAAACATCCATTATTTACAGTTAAATTTAGTGATATAAAATTCATTGAAATTCTCTTTAGTGTTTTCTGAATTCTATCAAATTACCAAGATTATTACAATGGGTATGTTCCATTTAATAAAGACGAATCAATAAAATAGATGTTCCTATTTATCTATAAACAATATGTGTAATATGTCATTGGTACATTCCAATGTCTTTCATAAAATTTCATTATTAAATATGAAATATATGTAAACATTTTTGATTGTGACTGAATGGTCACTGTTTGTCTTGAAAAGGCATTTGCAGATTCAACGGGCTTGAGGTGGCCGAGCGCAGATGGTGCTTAGCCTAAACCTTGTGTGTGTAAACAATAAAATTTGCAGTTAACAAATACACAAAATTGCATTGATTTGCATATTATGAATGAACTTGAAATTATTATTGTTTGTATTTTATATTTACATTGGTTTAAATCTGAAAACCACAATCATACAGCCTTACAAATAAACACGTTAAACTTAGGAATAAACTGAGTATAAGCAAAATTTGTACTATTTGGTTATACTCAGTTTATTCCTAAGTTTAAGTGTCTTAACAATGTTGGGCGCCCGATTACTAAAACCAGGCGCCTTAAAATTAGTATCTCATTGGATGGCGCGTTCATGAGCCGGCGCCTGGACGCCAACATATTAGAACTGGCATAAAATATATTCTTGTCTTTCATACTTTTAGAAAAAAACAATGACAATGTATGGAATTTTATAGTTAAAATTTACTATAGCTTACGTTTTATTATTCTCTGTATTGTGTACAAGGTGTACTTGATTTTCTCTAGTAAAATGAATTCATATGCAATATGTAAATTTCTATAGTCTTAAAGTTATATTGCATATGTATTAATTCAAAGAAAAGTAGGTTAAGTTATATAACTAGTATGAAATGTTCTGTTAACAAAATGAGAAATTGTTCCATAGATGTTTTTTTTTTTGTACAATATTCCATTGATATAAGATTGTCTAAAATTACCAGTCATATCCTGTTATGACAAAATTTGCTTGAGAAAAAATATGCTAAACTATTGCCACTGTACAAAATCGTATTCTTGGTTAAATAGAAAAATGGCAGTATTCAAAATGTACAATTTATAAGACAAGTGTTTAAAATAATTTTTTTCCTTTGAAGTTTTAAATTTACACAGAAGTGTTATATATCATTTTCATCATTTATATAGAAATATTGTTAACAACAGATTCTTTTTAGTAATAATGTAATTTTCCGCAAATTTTAAATGTCATTCTTCTGATCGATATGCTACAGTTGCAAATATAAAATGGTGACAGATACTATGCCAATTTTTGTGGGTTAAAATATGAAGGTAATTTTGTTCTTGTCTATTCCAGGGCTACCCAGCAATACAAGGCTATATGGCGCCCGGCTATTACCAGCAGTATCCTACCGCGTACAGCAATCCTCAGGCGGCAGCCGCTGGTAAGTTATCTATTTAGTAACAAATTATTAAGTTAAGATTGAAAGATGCCAATTGAATTTATGCTTTAATAGTTGCTTTGTGGATATTCTCAATGATGAAAACCTAATTTGAAGTATAAGTGGAATTTTTCACATTTATTTAATGAAGTAACTACTATATTTTTGTGTTTGTCATTTAGTATGTGAAAAAAATAATGTTTGCTATAAAATGTACAGTTTTAATATCATTGCTATCAGCTGTAATCCCTTATCTCGTCTCTCCCTTATCTCTGTGTGATACTGTGCTATTATTTAGTGCAAAACTATGTATTGACAATATGTACTTATTGTGGTATGGGGAATATATTTACCGCAATTAATGTCCTGCATTTTAGATGATAAATTAATGAAGCCTCCATACAAGCTCTGATTTAGTCAGTAACAGTATTTATGTGAGGGGTACAAAAATGTGGTTCAGTGTATTTTTTGTTTGTTAACTAATTATACCAAATTGTAGTACACTCAGTGAGTTACAATTTAGTATGAAATGTGGACTGTATTTTTGCTTTTATACCACTCATATGTTACTAGATTGAGGCGTGTCAGCGATTTCGCAGTAATTACTATAGTATCTACTGAAAAGTGATTACTTATGTTTGATATTGCATTGTGTTTGTTTCAGCGGGCTACCGCATGAGTATGCCGGGCGGCGCCAGCGCCGGCGCGTCCTGGGGCGGCACCGCGCAGCCCCTCATGTACGCCTCCGCCGCCATGCCCTCCGCGCAGTACCCCTCGCAGTAGCGCCCCGCGCGGGCCCCGCCCCCCGCCGCGCCCCCGCCCCCCGCCACCGCACGCCCCTCACGCGCACCGAGCGGCGCCACACCGCGCGGCTAGAGGCGCGGACATACGATAGACTCGCAGAAGATGTCACAAATCTTCGCAATAATTACACTTAGGTATCATACGGATCAATGACGTTGACATACGAGATGTCTCAGTCCCGAATCCCATCTCTCGGTTTGTGTCAACACTGCGCGAGGTGCGCGTGCGCAGTGTTGACCGCGAGCTTCAGATTGACACCTGTCAGTGTGGCACTTCCACTGTTGGCGGCCAAATTACTCTATGACACCTTGCGCGGGCTTCTGCGGATTAATTAGGCTAGAAGATATTGATTGATGAGCCGAAATGAGATATATTTTTATTAGCTCAATGTAAATGGCAATAACCGACCGTCATTTCTTAGTTTAATTTGAGATCGCTTGTTACAGTCCATGTCCCTTTGTCAGATATAACGCTGACAGCCGTTTTTGTCTAAGCTCCTTGGGAGAAATGGAAAATAGTTCTAATATTGGTTTTTGTTTCTGAAAGTTTAGTTCGTTCTATTGTTCACGTCTTATTCATTTGATCAACTTGATTTGGTGCATTCCATTCCATATACCTATGTACCACGTCATCCTCAACCCTTATATTCCCCAAGGTCATCCATAGGTCATCCCGCAATACCGAGTGCTTTTCACTAACGGATCGATGTCCGTACCATATTTCGTGTTGTTGACTGTGAAGTCAAATTCCAAGTGCCTATAAATATGGTAATGTTTGTTATCAGGCGAGTCTGCTTGATTTTGTTACTTTATAATGTCGTTTCCATTGTCGAGGAACGATATATTCTCAGACGCGATTGAACCATTTGCTATATTTATACACTATGACAATATCATGTTGCCGTTTCTATCTACTGTAACGTCGAGGTGGATTCTTTATTTTCATAAGTAGACGTAAGCATCCCAACCGTACAGGAGGCCTCCTCCTTAGTCTAGGTTTATGTAAAGCTTTAAGACGTCCGGCGCCGCGAGCGGGCGGCGGCACGCGGCGGCCCGCGGCGGCCGGCACACACAGTATTCTATATACTCAAACGTACATCACAATGCGACACGCTAGCAGTCTTAAAGAACGCCGTCGTCGCTGCGGCGTCGCAGCGTTACCTCGGGGGGCTGGCGGCGTCGCAGTGTCACCGTGGGGCATTGGCGGCGTTACTTCGGGGAACTGGCGGCGGCACGAGGGCGGGAGTGACACGACGTCCACTCGCGAACTGTAAGAGGTCGGCGGGGAGCGCTCGCCGGCGTAGATAGGTCATAACGAAATAAATTATAAAGTTTAAAAAAGATAAAAATATATATGGGGGTGTGTGTCGGGGGCGTAGGGGCGTAGGGGCGCAGGGGGCGGGGCGCAGCCTCGTGTACATACGTTATATTTATTGCGGCCGCAGTGAGGTCGCGGCGCTCGCGGCCCGACGCTGCACGCGCCAGCCGGTTGCCCTATTTATGATATATTGAGTTCGGCACATGTTGTTTTGTTTGACCTGAATTGTTATGATTTATTGTATGGTAACACTGGTGTGTCAATAAAGCAGTGGGTCTGGGACGCCGGGTGTTTGATTTGCCGTCGATATATTATTATCTATTATATAATACAACGGAAACGCGTTTATTTCTGGGTCCAAATTGAACGCGGACATTTCGCCTCCCGAGCTCGATGTCTGCGGTATATAACGATCGGATGAGAAAATTATTGTAAATTCTGAACGTCATTTTGTAAAAGGAGAAATAAATAGTATAAGTTGAAATAAGAAAAGTTTTGATTATCGCCTTTCTAAAATATTTCGTATGAAAATTTATCCCCATATACCAAAACCTTAAACTCCTAAATATAAAATTATATAAATATCACACTTTAAAATGAATCTGAGCATCAACTTCCATCGCTAAAACTGGCGTTAATTCATATTAAGAACTCTCAGATGTAAGGTGTTACAAAGTTACATTGTAAACTTTGTCACCCTTGTCGAAAAAAAGAAGAGTAAAAAAGCAGACAAAGTGGAAAAAAGCACAGGAGTAATGCTACTACTACATTAGAACTTCCTTATTTCTTTTTTTTTAGGGTTAGGACCTGTAGTAATAACTAGGGCCGTTTGAACCGGGAGGATGTGAGGGTTACTAGCGCCCAGTTATAGCGGCACCTGCTTGATTCTCGTTCACCTGTACCCGGTTAAGATGACCCTGAATGGAATAAGTAAGTATAGTTACAGAAATAATTGCTCAGCCACATGTCCACAATTGTATTCTAGAAATATAATGTATGCTAGAATTATTGGCAGAATTTTTTCCATTAACTCAACAGCACTGGTGTGTGTTACGCCTGGTACATATACCAGTACAGTAGAACAGGTGCGAAGGACTATCAAGGATGTGTCACTGCCAACAGCCAGTGCTGATTTTTAAACGCTACCGTGCAGCTGTACTGGTGTTTAATTTGAACCAGGCATTGACATGTCAATATTATAATAGGTATCGCTAATCAAAAAACACAGTTAACGTGAATATTGAGGACTACTCATTTCCATATTTTGATCAACTAGCCTCTCAAGTATTCTTAGATGTGTCTGAAGGCCACCCTACATCTAAAGCATAATGATTAATGACAACTAAAGTGAAAACGAAATTTCTACTACTACTATCAACACCAACCATCCCTTAAATGCTTTAAGAAATGGTTGATGAGTATGGTTATTAGTCCTCTAAGCAAACAAAAATGTTGAACGCTTGATGGAGATGGACGCTGAATTGGCGGCAATATAATATTTCTTTATAACTAGCATCAAAAAAGAAAAGTATCAAGTTCTTGGCATCATAATACAAGAGTGGTAAGTTCAATTAAAAACCCCCTGGATTTCTTATTGACCCTTTATGACACATCTGTACGCACATTATTTTAACAATAAGTTAATTTTATTTAAAAGTACTCTTCGAGAAGTTTTTAAATAAAGCATTAATATTAGTTTGAATGGAAGAATGCAGTGGTGTTGTCTCATAAAAGCCTAAGGGTGCGAAATACTTGGATAAGCAGAAATGAACCAAAGGTAAGCATACTATTTGTACGAAGTTTGGTCCTTTGAGTTTTTATTTCAAGTACAGCAAAATCTGTATAAAGTATAAATCTAGTTATCAGAATAATAACGAAAAATGGACGTTAACACTTCTACTGTCCTTATACAAACCTTGTAAAAGGCCATACAGACCAGTTATAACGTAATAAAGATTACAATATTTGGCAGTGATCCAGAAGACCCGCCTAGCTCTAAGCAATAACAACACATACTGAGGACTAAGGTCCAATTTTGATGGATAGAGACTTCAATGGAATACGATGCTATAAAGCTAACGCAAAATAATTAAGTTTAGGGCGAATTGCCACAGCAGTCTTCGACTAATTAAATTCTCCAGATTACAGACCTTTCTTTTAAGGCAAAACAATCTAGTAAGACTACAATGTATTCCATAATGCACGGTCCTGGGATTTGTCTAAACATTTCCTATATTTTCATGAATAGTTAGGGAAATTCTGCAAATATAACTTTTCTCACGCCATTTATCGTGGCTGAGTCAACTTATCTAGTGAAAAATGTGCTAAAGGACATCTTTATCTAACAATGTAGGGTACAATATTATGTGTTATTATGGCATATCTTATGTTTATGTTCGCCTTATGCCAACGCAATTATCATTCCTGTATTTTTGTACGCCAGTCGATTTCACGCCCACGACCACGACGTTCCGTTCGAGCGGCCGGTGCGTCATGCGACGCAAGGGTTGATGTTTTTCATGAATCGTTCTCGTCGGTTACTTCAGTCCTACACAATTGTTCTTCTGTAATATTCCAGATTTCATACAATCATCCTTAACCCAGTTGTGACGTCACAGCGGGCGTATTAGAAATTCTGAGTAAAAGCGGAGCCAGAATGACGCGAAAATTGCAATGACAGTGATCTAAAAATAAGGTCGCCGGCGACGCGCCGCCCGCGTCC